CCATTGAAGAATGTGTCGAATGATCTCACAAACAGATATTCACTTCTCGGAAAAGTGAAGCAAGCTCGGGCACAGACCTATCAGCAGATATTCAAAATTGAGAGCCGGTTATTCAGACAACTTATTTTAATGATTAGAATGTTATCCTAAATTCGCAAATCAGAAAGGAAAACGGAAACGTTCGATCGTTTTGTTCGTTTCATAGCGTTACATGGGGCTGAACATTTTTCCTAGAGACGATACTGCATATAAACCGACAAATGTTCCTTCCACGGATTAGGTATCTTTTTGCATACCCGGTATAATACCCGGTATAATTGTCTTTTTCATTTATACACTCGTTTCTTTTTAAGAATATTGTTTTTCTGGCCGAGGCTGGATATTTTAATTTTTTCTGCCGATTTTAGGCTGAAAACATTCTCGTGAATATTCATAGAATACAGCGCGTAACGTATCTATTTTTGAATGTATTATTTGGTGTCTGGATGGTGTTAAAGTTATTTTAGACTCAGACTGCAGTAGGTAAAGCCGGATATGACACAAATAACTTCTTGCAGAAATGGTAGTAGCATCGAACATAGGGCTAGTGCTGTTTTTGTTAGTTTTTCGGCCAGTTTTGTAGTTTTAAAGAAAGGAAGAATTTTATACGGTTTAGTTTAAATTAAGACATGTAATTCTATTGTATTTTAATACAAATTTTCAAAACACAAAATTATTTACTTTTCAAAATGTCAGCCTGGGGTTTATTCGTAAAATATTCTTTTTTAATTTTGCACATTTCAGCCTCAAGATTATTATAAAATATATTTTTATATATAAAAAGAGTGTATCCTGTTACACTGACTTGCCACCCGAAATTTAAATGTGTTTGGATTTTTATTGCATTTGAGTAACATTCTGTCACAAAATTTGACATGGTCAACTAAACTACGGATAAATTTATACGTTGCTACTCGAATGATTTCATCACTGCAGCTTCAGAGTAAACTCGACAACGTTTGTTTTGTAAGAATTGTAACACTTGGAATAAAATTCTCTTTAATTTTCATCGCTGGTATTTTTTATCACTTATTAGATCATTTTCTTTGTACTGATAATAATAATAATAATAATAATAATAATAATAATAATAATAATAATAATAATAATAATA